AATTTGCTGAACCATTGTTGACACTTACGAACGTTCAAAACATTTCCATAAACTTCTTTGATATTATTTGTGGCTACAGAGACGTTGTTTCCCTTCTTGTATTCAAACAACATTACATAATCTAAATCAAATACATTTAGTATTTACTAATGTATTTACTAAATTTACCAATACAATCCATGTATGAATTAAGAATATTAAAAATACTCAAAAATAAATCAAATGAGTCAAAATATTTTCCTTTTTAAATTAAAATCTTATTCTAATAGTTTCTTATGTTTCTTATTATTATGGAAACGCAAATGATAATTTCACACTGTTTCTTTTTAGTAAAATTTAGTAATTAGTAAACGTTTTCATGGTTTCATAATTACTGTTGATGTTACACAACCAATTACATCTGGCCAAAAAATGCATGAAATATTTTTCGGAAAATAACCCTTTTTGTTTTACATTACATTAACAAAATGTGAAGACATGAGAATGTGGTTCTTTTAGAATTTACAATTTGCACAAAATACATTTATTAAGATGTTTACTGACATATAGTGGGCTTTTTTCGGGATATCTAACCTGGAATTTACGTAAGTTTAGTCTTAATCCTAAATTATCTGTTCACCAATATATAATTCACTACACATTATAAGATATAAACTACATTCTTAGAATTGCAATTAAATGAGTTATTAATAAAAACCAAAATGTCTTTGTTTTGTTCTTTATTGTTATCGAAGATTTATAACCTGAATAACATTGTTTGTTTGTTTTTGAATTTCGCGCAAAGCTACACGAGGGCTATCTGCGCTAGCCATCCCTAATTTAGCAGTGGAAGACTAGAGGGAAGGCAGCTAGTCATCACCACCCACCGCCAACTCTTGGGCTACTCTTTTACCAACGAATAGTGGGATTGACCGTTACATTATAACGCCCCCACGACTGAGAGGGCGAGCATGTTTGGTGTGACGGGGATTCGAACCCGCGACCCCAAGATTGCGAGTCGAACGCCCTAACCACCTGGCCATGCCGGGCCTGAATTACATAAAGAACAGTTCTTTCTGTCACAACTGAAAACACCTACTTTAGAAAAATGTCTTTTTTTTAGATTTATTTAATATTTTATAAAAATGTTTAGGTTGTCTTCTTTATAAAATAATTATATTATTTATCAATACACCTTTCAGTTTTTTATTTACTGTTTGTTATAACTGACCTTTCAAGTGACGAAATGAGTAGAGGAATTAATCAAAAAGTATTGTTACGACAGCGGAGGTCACGTGACGCTAGTAACACGTCTTGCGCTTCTCGGACGTTCACGTTCCTTCCTGAAATCTCGAGAGGCTACTA